GAACAGTGTATGGACCCCAATGATGTTCTGCTGTCGACGTTGGAGTAGCATAGACAGCATAAATGACATCGCAGTACACATCTCACCTTGGGGATCTGCAGAATTTGCAAAAGAAGCCCAGAAGAAGCAAAAGAAGCATAATCATGCTTCCGATGCTAATTCTGCTTCTATTGGCAATTGTGCTTCTTAGAAGCGGCTTTTGCATCTTGCACAGCAACGATCCATGTGATAGTCAAGCCTAGTGGTGCTTCCATTCCTATTTGATCTCTTGTTGTGCCTAAAAGTGCCACTTGGGCCACAAACCACCAAATTATTGCCACACAAGCTACAGACATCGTATGGTCTCGCAAAAATCACTATAATTTGTAGAGTATTCAATTCTATTATAGTTATATATGGCGCCTATCACATTGATGACACTAGTCCCATAAACCATCAAATACACTAAACTAGACCCCTTTCTCAATATTAAGCTGTGCACACAGTAAATGAAATCAATCTACCAAGCTAAAATCACCATAATTTGGAGCATATTCACATCTATCGCACCATATATTACAGCTGTTTTGGTAATGGTTGGCAGTTGCGTGAGAAAAAAAAGTAGTTCTACAAAAAAAAGAAATGCCTTCGTGTAAGAACGCTGACCGTAAGAGGCAATCGTAGGGGTCGCGGGTTCGACTCGCGCCCTACGCAATGAAGTATCTATTTACTGTTGGCATTGGCCACACTGTTATCACACCAGATATGACACAATATGTTTTTTCATACCTGTCAGGAGTAATGTATAATTTTTTAGAGCATGTACCATAAGCGGCGGCTCAAAGAAAGCAGCATGGAGAAGGAATTGATCCTGTAGATGAAGTGGCAAGAGCGCGGTTTGAACCAGCAGTCTCTGTGGCGTGTGTGGCCGCCACATTTCTTTTCTCTGTAGAACTACTTTTTTTCGCGCGCGACTGCCAACCTTTTCCGAAACAGCCGTAATATCAATGGTTGAGATCGCTGGAGCCCACAAGTTATTCTATAGTCCTCACCAATATGGATGAGTATATGTTATGGACACTTTTTCTCTATTCTTATCTTATATATCTTTTCCTGTTCTTTATCCTTACCGTGTTCCTAGTCAGGTTGTGTCTTCCCAGACTTTGGCTCAATCCCTTTCCTCTATAACAATATTAAATGTTCTGTAAGCACGTATTCTTTTCTTATATATATGTAAGTTATTCCGGACATTTCAGTATTGTCCTTGCACACAGAATTCACCAAGAATCCTGGGTATTGTTTTTTGTGACCTCAAGACGATCCCCCACGGAACCATGAACCCAGAAGAGCTCTATTACAAGAATCTCTATTATTACAGCTCTAGCAGGACATCTGCCTTAGAAGAGAACACCTCATCTGAACGAACTCGATTCTAGACCGGGCATCACATCTAGACGAACTGAGCCAGAACCCCAGAACTCCCTTGCTGATTGCCCAAGCTGACGGCACCAAATAATTTGATCATTTCCTGCACCATGAACCAGATTCTGCCCTTAATCGCAGCTTAAGCCCGGTCATTACAGTACTTGCGGGGTTTGATGTGGTCGATACACAGATAAGTGATGAGGAAGGCTAGAGTAGAAAAAGTAGAATATATCAGCAATAAATGGAATAGGGATGGAACAAAGTGTGAATTGAGGAGAGTGGACACTGAGTGACAGTGGAAGAGATCAATGGTGATAGTAAGCACCTCTGAGTGTGAATTAAGAAGACAGCACTGCAAGAGTGTTTGATGATTGGCGTCAATGTGGCTGTAGAAGGTAAGGGCTACAAATCAGGATTCATTTTTAAGGGTTATAGGTGTTGAGAGAGTCAGGATAGATGATGACTTGAGAGGAGAAGAGGGACAAAGATACTTGGGGACAAAAAACTCAGAAGGACTCAGAACTTGGACTCGAAAAGTAAGGAAAACTCAGTGGGGGGTTCTCTGGTATTTGAAAGGCTGCCAGGGAGTCTGTATAAGTGACAAAGCAAGTGCTTCCCAGTCCGCTGCATGTCCTGGGCAAGCTACAGACAAGTCCACATATACTGTGGCAAAAAAAGTATTGCCCACGCTGGAGTTGTCACAATTGTTTCTCCTTACAAAGCTGTCAATTACTTGAGTACTCTTAATCTGTATATAGATAGACTGCCACTGTACTGCTCAATAATCTACTATGTATCATTTGAAGAAAGCCCGAAGGGTTTTGAGTATACAGCACCGGCACACCACTCGGCTTACATAAGAAACACGTCTGGGTACGCGAGTCGATGTTGAACTTGGCTTCCACTATCACGACAACCTCACGAATCATCACAATCTTCATTGCACATTCTCAGAGTTTTCTTCTTGTTTATAATCTATTGCTCTGTTATTACAAAATATACTACACCAACTACAAAGGCTCGAATTGTCATCAGCATCGAGCTCAGACAAACCCCAAGGACAGTAGCTTGAACTGTACGACGAGATTGCCAAACAGTTGAGCAGATCTATAAACACTATCATCCCAGTCACGACTTCTACCGCATTGCTCCAAAATCAGGCCGGCCGCGGAAGTTTACAGATCATGACGCTCAAAGAGCCGCCTGGCTAATCCGCTCTAGCAGAGCTCGCACGGCAACGGATGTCCAACAACAAGCGCTCAAGTCAGTTACACCACAACTTGTGCATGCATACCTCATCGTGTAAGGCTTGCCTGGTTGCAGACACCGTTGCAAGTTCATCCTCACATGCAGTCACAAGAAATGATGACTCGCTTGGGCACGAGAGCATGAGGGTTGGACGGCCTCGCAATGGGAGCACGTAGTTTTCATGGATGAGTTCAGGATCAACCGGTGGGGGTCAGATGGTGTTCAATACTGTCGGAGGGGTCCACGGGAGGAGTTTAGGGAGGAGAATGTTGACCCAGAGATAAAGCATGGAGGCGGGTCAATCATGGTATGGGGGATGCATCACGAGTAGGGGGTATGATCTGTTATGGACACTTTTTCTTCTCTGTTACCTCATATATCTTGTCCTTTTCTTTTCCTTTATCCTGTTCCTAGTTAGGTGACGCACTCCCGGACTTTGGCTTGATCCCTTCTCGCTAAAATCCCTTGAAACATTTCTACAAACATATCTCCTTCTCTTGCGGACACATATACTTACCTCGGACACGTATGATAGTTGGCTTGACACCATCAGGAAATCCAGTATCTGCTATATAGCCGGTGTGTTTTCCCACCCCTGATTTGATAGCAGAACCCACGCTCTGAGAGCTCTGAGAGCACTCATATCAGTATGAGTAAACACTCTATATCATTAACTTGTAGGACTATCTATACAGCTACTACCATGTCCATGAATCTATATTACCCTGTTTCACCTCAATAGAGATCTCTTACATGAGAGTGCTACCAGTCACAAGTGTCACAATGTCACAATTTTTGCTGGCCAGCCAGCAATTTGGGCCACACTTCTGCTCACATGTCCAAGCATCACTTCCTGACAAAATTAGGTATTGAGATTGACAGTATGGAAAGACATGATGATATATAAGCTACCAACAAGGATAAATTCAACAATAATAGGAAGGCAGAGTCTGAGTGGCACTGATGTGGCACAAGGATATAGAACACAAATTGAAGAGGCAATGTGACATTTTGATGGTTTGAATGATACATCTCCCCTACCTATACACTCTCTGGGATTGATTTGTAAAGAAAAAGAGGAGAAAAAGTCGAAATCTGAAGCAGAGAGAATATAATGCAGGCAGGGTAGGGTAGTGGATAAGAAGAGGACAGGATTCTGTAG